CCGGACTCCTGGGTCTGAGGGAGGAGGGGCTGGGGGTCCGGACTCCTGGGTCTGAGGGAGGAGGGGCTGGAGGTCCGGACTCCTGGGTCTGAGGGAGGAGGGGCTGGGGGCCTGGACTTGCAGGTCTGAGGGAGGAGGGCGCCAAGTCTGTAAGAGTTGGACTCCAGGCCTCTCAAGGGCTTGTGACTGCTCCCAAGGGCTTGGCCCCATCCTGGACCCAGGCGTCCCCTCAGGCCTGGTGTGTGCAGCCCCGCCCTCTCCAGCCTCTGGGGGCAGAGAACACCTGTTTGCTCTGAGGAGACAGAGGCTACTCACCCACCCCCAGGGCCCAAGTCTGTTTGCTTTGGAAACAAGTTGGGGGGTGTCTCAAGTTATCTGGTTCATCTTTCACCCTTGGGCCATCGGTTGGCCGAGGGATGTGGGGGCAGGGGCAAGGGACATCTGTGACTTCACCCTAACCAGCGACTGACTAGTCTCTTCGCTCCTCAGATGCCTCTAATGAAGAGGGAAACTGAGTCACAATGGCAAGTGCCACTGAGCCCCCAGCCCCTCCTCCCTCAGACCTGGGAGTCCAATCCCCCAGCCCCTCCTCCCATGGGCCCTGGTCTGGTGGGCCCTGGGCCCTGGGTCACCCTCTCCCCTCTGTCCTTGCAGAGATGCCCGGCAAACAGTCGGTTGAGGAACAGGTGGTGGTGGGGACTGCGGAGAACGGAGCTGAGGAGGACCTGGGGGGCCTCACGATGGAGGAGCTCCGGCAGGGCCAGGAGGCGGCCCTGGGGCTGGAGGACATGATGACGCTGAGCACCCAGACCCTGGTCCGAGCTGAGGTGGACGAGCTCTACCAGCAAGTGCGACCCCTGGGCCAGGGCCGCTTCGGCCGGGTCCTGCTGGTCACCCACCGTCAGAAAGGTACCCGGGCCTAGGGACAGAGGCAGGGGTGCAGGGGCTGGTGGCATGGGCCCAGGAGGAAGCTTGTCAAGGCTGGGGGGTCTGCTGCAAACCTGAATCAAGTCGTGCCTCTGCCCCATCTGGCTGTGTGTTCTTGGGAAATCCCCTACCCTCTCTGATCCTACTTTGAAAATGTGGGTGACAATTCCTTCTCTGAAAGCACTGTGATTCTCTGAGTGTATGTCAATGGCTCTGGTTGCTGGGGATGACGGGGAGCAAGACAGAGTCCCCCCCTCGTGGCCCTCACGTGTGGCGGTTTAGTGGTCACCATGGGGGTGATTCAGGGCCATGCTGTCTGCCAGGCCCTTAGCAAGGCCAGTGCACAGTGGGTGTGCAGGACATGCTCCCCCAGCCCCAGTCTGGTACCCTCTGTCAAGCATGCACACACCCTCCGGCCTTCCCACAAAGTGAGGATACTGCAGATGGAACTCAGAGTCCACATCAGTTCAGAACACTCCTTCCAAGGCCGCCTGGGGGCTCAGCCCTGGCCTGGGGGATGCTGGGGACCCAGAGATGACTCTGAGTCAGCCCTGCCTTCAAGGAGGAGCTCCCAGCCTGAATGTGGAGAAAGAGTGTGTTAATTCGCTATGGCTGCCGTGACAAAGCCCACAGATCGGGTAGCTCAAACAACAGAAATGTATTCCCTCACAGTCCTGGAGGCTGGAAGTCCGAGATCAAGGTGTCCGCAGGGCTGGTTTCTCCTGAGGCCTCTCTCCTTGGCGTGTAGGTGGCTGCCTTCTCCCTGTGTCCTTCCAGGGTCTTCCCCATGCACATGTCTACGTCCAGATTTCCTCTTTTTATAAGGACACCAGTCATATTGGACTAAGGACCTCGTTTTTTTTTTGTTGTTTTTTTTTTTTTAAAGATTTTATTTATTTATTTTCCCCCCAAAGCCCCAGTAGATAGTTGTGTGTCATAGCTGCACATCCTTCTAGTTGCTGTGTGTGGGACGCGGCCTCAGCATGGCCGGACAAGCAGCGCATCGGTGCGCGCCCGGGATCCGAACCCGGGTCGCCAGCAGTGGAGCGCGCGCACTTAACCACCAAGCCACGGGGCCGGCCCAGGACCTCGTTTTACCTCTTTCAAGACCCTGTCTCCTTGGGCCGGCCCCGTGGCTTAGCGGTTAAGTGCGCACGCTCCGCTGCTGGCGGCCCGGGTTCGGATCCCGGGTGTGCACCTACGCACCGCTTCTCCGGCCATGCTGAGGCCGCGTCCCACATACAGCAATTAGAAGGATGTGCAGCTATGACACACAACTATCTACTGGGGCTTTGGGGGGAAAATAAATAAATAAATAAAATCTTTAAAAAAAAAAAAAAAAAAAGACCCTGTCTCCAAATACAGGCTTATTCTGTGACAGTGGTGGGGAGGACTTCAGCATATGAATTTGGGGAGACACAGTCCAGCCCAGGACAGATGAGAGGTGCAAAAGAGATCCAGGCCCGGGTCATCACAGAACTCGGAGGCAGAGCGATACTGGGGAGCAGAGGCATTGTCCAGGGGGCCACGTCCACTTGTGCTTCACTCAGCATGCATCTTGGGGCCTCCTGGACGCCCACCTCAGGGCTGGGCGGTGCTGGGGGCCTAAAGCTGTAGCTGAGCTCCAGAGGCTCATGGCACGGTGGGGAGCACAGAGGGACAGTGATCATCAAAGCAGAGGTGGCATGGGGGCTGGCCCCATGGTCTGGTGGTTAGGTTAAACGCATTCCGCTTTGGCGGCCCAAGTTTGTGGGGTCGGTTCCTGGGCACAGACCGACACCGCTCATCAGCCATGCTGTGGCGGCATCCCACATATAAAGTGGAGGAAGATTGGCACAGATGTTAGCCCAGGGCCAATCTTCCTCAGCAAAAAAAAAACAAAAACCAAAACCAAAACAAAAACAGGTGGCATGTGACCTGATGGCCAGAATCCAGGGCATTGTAGACGCTTAGAAGCCCTGCTGCATCCCACTGGGGTGCAAGGGGAATGGTCAGCATTTCAGGGAAGGAGGTGACCTCCGTCTGTCACACACGGCCTCCTGATGGGCGAGGGTGGGCCCTGGCCGCCGGTGACTAAAAAAATTGAAGAAACCAGAGTTCCTGCCTTCAGGGGGCTTCATTGCCACGTGTGACAAAATTCGTAACAATTCCTTAATTGGATCTAATACCCAGTGCAGGGCATCTTTTCCCCAGTTGCCTGGAACATGGCTTTTTGGCCTGGGTTTGCTGGAACAACAGGCCAAACTGGGTCACTGGAGGTTCTGAGTTCAGTTTTCATGGTATCCCCTCACTGGCTCCAAGACAGCAGCTTGTAAGGGAGCAGAGTAGAAACTCACCAAATGCTAGTGTTATTATTAATAATTATTATTACCCCCGGTGGTGTTTTGGTGGCCCTGCTGTTTTCAGGGTGGGCTTGTAGGGAGGCAGGAATGGGAGGAGGCGGAGGTGGCATATGGAAGATTCTGGGTTGAGGGGCCACAAGGGCGACCCGTGGCCCTCGCACTCCTCCCACACCCGCCCCTGCTGCCCCCAGGCACGCGCATGGCGCTGAAGCAGCTCCCAAAGGCCTCTACTTCCCTCCGGGGCTTCCTGTATGAGTTCTGCGTGGGGCTCTCGCTGGGCAGGCATCCGGCCATCGTAGCAGCCTATGGCATTGGCATCGAGTCAGCCAACTCCTACAGCTTCCTGACGGAGCCCGTCCTGCACGGGGACCTCATCGCCTTCATCCAGCCCAAGGTGAGCAGGCGGGTCGCGAGCGGGCCTCCGAGAGCCTCACGCGGTCTCCCAGAGACGCCCTTGAGCAGCCTGGGCCTCAGGAATCACATCCGCTGCACTGGGCCCCACTGGGACTCACTGGGCACATAGGTCCCACAGAATTGTTAGTCCTCTCTGGGGTTCGCGGACACCAAACTACACCCTACAAGATTCACCAGCCCTCATGGGGTGACACCAGGCCCCATGGGGCTCGCAGGCCTCATCGAGTCACACTAGTCCGCACTGCGCCTCACTGGGGCCATCTATCTGAGGTCGTCATGCTCCTGGGCCTCCCTGGGCCTGCTCCCTGGGACTGAGGAGACGCTGTATCGCCCCAGACCCCTTCCGGCTGGCTGCGGAGGGGCAGTGGACCCTGACGCCTCTCCCCCACAGGTGGGCCTCCCCCAGCCAGCAGCCCAGCGCTGCGCAGCCCAGCTGGCCTCAGCCCTGGAGCACATCCACTCCCACGGCCTCGTGTATCGGGACCTCAAGCCGGAGAACGTGCTGGTGTGCGACCCGGCCTGCCGGCGGGTCAAGCTGACCGACTTCGGCCACACGCGGCCCCGCGGGACCCTGCTCCGCCTGGCTGGGCCGCCCATCCCCTACACAGCCCCTGAGCTCTGCAGCCCCCCACCGCTCCCCGAGGGCCTGCCCATCCAGCCCGCCCTGGACGCGTGGGCTCTGGGCGTCCTGCTCTTCTGCCTTCTCACCGGCTACTTCCCCTGGGACCAGCCCCTGGCCGAGGCCGACCCCTTCTACGAGGACTTTGTCATCTGGCAGGCCTCGGGCCAGCCCCAGGACCGGCCCCAGCCCTGGTTCGGCCTGACGCCCGTGGCAGATGCTCTGCTGTGGGGGCTGCTGGACCCTCAGCCCCGGAAGAGGAGCCCCGTGAGCTCCGTGCGGGGCTACCTGGGGCGCCCCTGGAGGCAGCGGGAGGGGGAAGCGGAAGAGGTGGACATGGGGGACGAGGAGGACAGAGAGTGAGAAGGGCCTGGGCCGCCCGGGAGACTCGGAAAGGGAGCCAGGTGCCACATCCTGAGGTCTCCTCCGCGTTCACATGGTGGGTTTCGGCTTCTTTCTGCCTATTTTCATCTCTATCCCATTATTGTCCCCTTTCTGTCCTCTGTGTCTCCCACTCAACAGACCGTCTCCCTCCCTTGGGCTGTGGGGCCACTGGGAGCTGTGTGGCTACCCCGCTGTCCCCGCTTCCCCTTTGCCTGTGGTCTCTTGGCTCCTTCCTCACCTCCTGCAGACGCCCCTCCTCAGGCTGCCCTACTGGCACCCCAACCCCCCAGTCTCTGCTCTCCTCGGGTCACTTGCTCTCTTCTAGCTGTGCAATTTATTCATTGTGGTTATTTTGTGGGTCCTGCCGGAATGTGAACTCCTGGAGGGCGGGGTCTCGGCCTGTCCTGTTTGCTGACGTGTCCTCCAGAGCTGGAGCCATCCTGGCCCTTAGTAGGTGGTCAGTAAATGCTTGCTCAGTAAACGAGCCCATCTGGTTTTGCACCGCCCCCCTCCACGTCCCTCTTCTCTTCTCTCTTGCTGGGTTCCACTCACTCCCTCTGCCCTTTTTCTTCCTCCCGCATGCTGGGCTGCCCCCCTCTCAATAACGTGCTTTCTCTTCTCTCACCCTGGCCGCTCTCTGCAAATAAAGTCCACCTGGCACTTAGGTCCCCGTGATGCTGTTGGTCTGTCAGCTTGGGAAAGAGAAGGACGGTGTGTACGTGCAGGTGCACAGGAGAGTGTGTTGTGGAGGAGAGACAGAGAAGGAGAGGGAAGAAGGAGAGACAGAGAGACGGAGGGAGACAGAGAGAGAGAGAGAGAAAGAATGGCAGAAACACAGCACCCCTGTGTGATGGTGTAAGGTGCTGGCTCTGGGTCTGCATTTGTGGGTGCGCCTGGGAGCTTGTGTCAGGATTGTTAGCGCCTATTTACCGTGCGTGTGTGTGTGTGAGGAGAGGGATTAAACATCAGAGCTTGAGAGTGTCCGGATGTTCGTGGATAGGAACTTGAGCTGAATTGGAGCCTGTGTTTCTGTGTGTTTGTGTGTCCGTGAGCGTCTGAGCCCAGATGTGTGTACCAGTGAAGGTGTGTATGTGCGTTGGGGGGAGACACAGTGAGGGTCTGAATGCGTCTCCCCCACAAGGCTGACATGATTGTGTGTGTGTTGTGTATCTGTGAGCGTCTGAGGCCATGTGTGCTTACATAACTGTGAATGTGTGTGCGAGGGGCAGTTTGAGTGCCTCTCAGTCTGTGGACATCGGATCCATGTTTGTGTGTCTACGAGAGCGTGGGTGTCCGTGTGTGTGCAGCAGGGGGAGAGGTGGTGCAGGCATCGCTGCCCGTCACCAGCGGCCCCTCTCTGCTTCACACCTCCCCCCTCCCAGCCGGCCCTTTCTTGGCAGCCGCCTGTTTGCAAACACTCTCTCTTCCTCTCTGTGCCCTCCTTGGCCGCCAGCCCAGAGCAAGGCCACAACTCAGAGCTGGATCATGTGTCACTCTCTCCCTGGCCCCCGCACCACCCCCCAGTGCCTCTGCTGTGGCCACCGAGGTGTTGCCTGAGGTGGGGGGGACAGCGTGTGTGGAGTGACCCCAAGGACACTTTGAATCTAGGTTCCATCTAGAGAACTGGAGACTTGGGCCCCTGTCTTAGGCAATCCAGGTGTGCTGCCTGGAGGAGGGGGTCGTTGGAGAGAATAAGATGGGGCAGTACAGAAGGGGAAGCATAATCAGGACCTCCTGCCACCTTATCCATGATTCTGAAAGAGCCCCAGCAATTAGGCCAAGAATGTGTCCCCAAAAAGCTGGGGCGATAGTGGCGCTGGGAGAGAGGGGGTGGAGATGAGCAGGGTTCAGCGGGGAGGCTGCACAGGGTGTTAATTGGTGGCAGAAGCTGAGGATTAACTTCGAGGTGATAATGACCCAGGGATGGGCCCAGGGGCAGGGGAGGAGGACGAAATTCCCAGGGAGGGCCTGAGGGGGCAGGGGCAGTACTAATTAAGTACTAGTAACTCAATTCAGTAATACTTCATACTTACCATATTATTTAACACTAATGCAGCGGCTTGCTCCCCCAGCAGCTCCCCTAGCAGGCAGCATCTGCTCGTCCCCTCAGACCCTCCCCATTCCACGGCGGCCACGGCGCCCAGAGCAGCCGAGGTGCGGCCTGAGCTCACAGCACAGGGCAAGGCGGAGCTGGGAGTTGAACCCAGGTTGTCTCCTGCCCGGGGTCCATGCTCTGAACCTGCAGGGCAACCTGCTGCACCCTCACGAGGGTGAAGGGGCCTCGTGAGCAGGACAGGGAGTGTGGGAGAGCGTGTGTGGCCATGAGTGTGTGAGAGTGTGTGACAGTGTGAGTGTGTGAGAGAGTATGAGTGTGAGAGTGTGAATATGAAGGAGTGTGAGAATGAGTGTGCGTGTGTGACAATGTGAGTGTGTGTATGAGTGAGTGTGAGTAAGAGTATGAGTGAGTGTGAGAGACTGAGTTTGAGTGTGTGTGAGTGCGAGAGAGTAAGAGTGAGCCTGAGTGCGAGTATGTGTGACCTTGAGTGTGAGAGGCTGAGTGTGAATGTGTGAGCATGAGTGTGAGAAGGTGTGACAGTGTGAGTCAATGTGAGAGTGTGAGAGAATATGTGTGAGTGTGAATATGGAGTGTGAGAATGAGTGAGCATGTGTGAGAGTGAGAGTGTGAGAGTAAGTGTATGAGTGTGACTATGAAGAAGTGTGAGTGTGTGAATGTGTGAGAGTTTGAGTGTGTGGGTGTGTGGGAGTGAATGTGAGGGAGTGAGTGTGAATGTGTGAGAGTTTGTGGGAGTGTGCATGGGAATGTGAACGTAAGGGAGTATGAGTGTGAGAGAATGAGTGAATGTGAGTGTGAGTGAATTGTGAGCGGAGTGTGTGAGTGATTGTGAATGTGTGCATGTGGGAGTGTGAGTGTAAGGGAGTCTGCGTGTTAAGTTTGAGGAAGCGTGTGTGGGTACATGTGTGGGAGTGCGTGCGGGAGACTGTAAGCGGAGGTGGGAGAGTTGTGTGAGTGTGTGTTTGTGTGTTGGTGAGGTGTCACCCCTCCCTTGGAGGAGACTGGAGTTGGGCCCCTAATGAAGACAGAAAAGGGGGGTCGCAAAACCCTTCAGACCCATGGAACGGCTGTAATCAAAGGACGGATCCTACCCACTAGTGAAGGTAAAATGGGGCAGCCACTGTGGAAGACAGTCTGGCGGTTTCTCAGAATGTTAAAGGGTTTCCATATAGCCCAGCAATTCCGCTCCTAGGTATATACCCACGAGAAAGAAAAACATGCACCCACACAAATATCCATGCAACATTATTCACAATTGCCAAAAAGTGGAAACAACCCAAATGTCCATCCGCTGACGAATAGATAAAGGAAATGTGCTCCATCCATTCAATGGAATATTATTCAGTCATAAAAAGGAAGGTGGCATTGACACCTGCTGCATCTCAGATGAACCTCGAAAACATCATGCAAAGGGAAAGAAGCCAGACACAGAAGACAATCTACTGTAGGACTCCGCTTATATGAAATGTCCAGAATAGGCAAATCCACAGAGAAAGAAAGATTAGTGGTTGCCAGGGGTGGGGCCGTTGGGGAGAGATGGGGAGTGGGGGGTGGCAATGGTGGTGGAAACGTTCTAAAATTAGATTGTGGTGAGTGTTGCACAATTCTCTGAATATATCAAAAACCACTGAATTGTACATGCAAAAAGGGTGAATGTTATGGCATGTAAATTTCATCTCAATGAGGCTGCTTTAAAAAAAAACCCAGGCGTTTCCAAGCTCTCGCTCTGTGATCTTGATCAGGTTTCTTCCCTTCTCCGAGCCTCTGAATTCCCATTAAAAAGAAAAGGAAACAGAGGGGCCGGCCGGGCAGCATAGTAGTAAAGTTCGGGCGCTGCTCTTCGGCAGCCTGGGGTTCACAGGTTCGGATCCCGGGCGCGGACCGACACACCGCTCATCAAGCCACACTGTGGCAGCACCCCATATAAAGTAGAAGATGATGGGCACAGATGTTAGCCCAGGGCCAATCTTCCTCAGCAAAAAGAGGAGGCTTAGCAGCAGATGTTAGCTCAGGGCTAGTCTTCCTCATCAGGAAAAAAAAAAAAAAGAAAAAAAGAAAAGGAAAGAGAAACACTCCTTCTAAAGTTTCTGAATTCAGGACCTATTCATCATGAACTAAGTTCTTATACACAGGACCCACTCATTACTCCTCTGTCCATTTCACAGAACAGACCATTGAGGCCCCGATATGGAACCTACTTTCCAAGACCCTAAAGCCAAAAGGTGGCAGTCTGGATCCAAACCCAGCTCTCGCCTGATTCCAAAGTCTTTGTTCTTCATCCCCCACTCAGCACGCCTAAACTGTACCTGGGCAGGTGATCTCCAAGAGAGTTCTGGCTTCCCCCCGCTGGGGAACCCCAAGCAGGACCAGTTACAAAATTCGTGGGCGTCCAATGCAAAAGGAAAACATGGGGTTTCTTGTCAAAAAAAAAAAAAAAAAAAAGAAAAGAAGCTTTTTCCAGGAATCCGGCCACCTGAACCCACCCCAGGAAGCCAGAGTTGGCATTCGCCAAGGCCCCAAGGGCTCGGAGCGTGCTTCATTGTCCCATCCACTTCACTTATAAAACACAAAGTCGACAATCACAAAGGTCAGGATGGCTCCACAGAGCATTAACCCTGTGCAAGTGCACCCAACCCACACGCTGCTGGTGGGAGAGAGTTGACCCCGGATCCAGAGGGGGGCCAGCCTTGCAAGGCCTCTCTGCACCACATCTTTTGCAATAGTAAACAGACATGCAAATGACTTGAGCAGGGCCTCACAGACTTGAAGAGCCACGCACGGATCACCTGCCCATCTTGTCCAAATGCACATTCTGATCCAGGGGGTCTGGGGGGAGCACCTGAGACTCCGCATTGCTAACCAATCTGTGTCTTCCTTTCCACCCTTTAGCTGATTAAGGAAGTCCCCTCTGCTCCTACTTTCCTAAGAGTACGTGTGCGCGTGCGTGTTTGTAAACCATAAATAGGTGCTGAATTTTGTCAAATGTTTTTTCTGCGTCAGGCAAGCTTCCTAGGCCTCTGCAGCTACTGTTCTGGGCTTGTTGCAAGCTGGCGGACACCGGATCGGGCTCAGATGTCCTGTGGGAGACGTCCAGGTTCAGGGCCAGCAGTAGGCGGGGCTGGCCTTGGGCCCAGGGGCCAGATGTTGGGGTTTAGCTGCCTGGCCAAGCAGGGATCGAGTGGCCGGATAATTAAGCACCCATTTCTTCGGGGCTGGAAGAAGGTGGCAGGGGGTGGAGGGACCTTGGGCCAGAGTGCCCGACAGCCCCCCCAACCCTGGCTAGCAGAGAGGGGCCAGGAACCCGAACCCCTAGCGGGGCCCTCTGGGGGGACCTGGAGCTGGGGTTCACCTGCTCCCACCTGGAAATGGGAAACGAGACCTTTTGCTACCAAGTTGGGGTGCCCTCCTCTGAGCCTTCGACTACCCAGGACGGTAAGGGGACTTTGGGCAGAACCTCCCTCACCCTCCCCAGGTTGCCAGTCAGCAGTTATTTAAGTCTCGGGGCTTAATAAGACCTGGGGGACAGAATTCTCCACGTGCTCCTTTGCCTGTTGGCAGGGGAAGACAGTCCATCTTTCAGGACCCCCAGACTGTATCCCTCCCCCGCCAGCAAGTAACTGGACCCTGCTGGCCTTTGCAGGACGGCGGGGGCGCCAGCTCCATGACCTTCCAGGACCTCTGAGCCAGGCTCCAGTGAGAGGAGGAGGAGGGAACAGTTTCCTGCCTGAGGCTGCAGGAGCCGGAATCCGAGTCGGGGTCTTCCAAGCCAGCCCCAGTTTACAAGCTGAGGCCCAGAGAGAGGAGGGGCCCACCCAAGGTCACTCAGAGGGGCCATCACGGAAGTCTTAACCTGCAACCCCAGACAAAGGTCGAGGCAGAGGAATTTGCATCTCGTTATTCTGAGTCTCAGCTCTGCTGTGTAGTCGTAGGCAAGGGGCTTGCCCTCTCTGAGCCCTGGTGCCCTTTCTAAACAGTGATCAAGTTCCTCCCTCAAAGGGCAGTGAGGACGGGATGTAGCGTATTAAGAGTCCACATTGTATCAGGCACAGGGGAGCACAGTTAGGAGTGGTCACATCACTCTTGTTAACTGAGCACACTCTGTGCCGGGCTCTGTCCTTACCGGCACTAACCCATCGAATCCTCACGACAACCCCAGGAGGCAGGTACTAGTGCTATCCCCATCATACAGGGGAAGAACAGGCTCAGACAAAGGAAATAAAACGCCAGGGTCCTACAGCTAGGACATGGCCTCAAACCCAGCATAGCCTGACATGAGCACGTCATATCTTATGAGCAAGGGCCCTGGGTCAGACAGGCCTGGGCTCGTGATCCAACCTCTCTGTGCCTCCAGGCCCCGATCTGTGAAATGGGCATAAGCACAATAATAACTATCACACCATGAGCGCTTATCAAGAGCCAGGGCTCAGCACGCTCGCACACGTATTAATTTATCAGTTAATCACCATGGCAACCCCATGAGGTCTATACTATTATTACCCCCCTTTCATCGTTGGAGAAACTCTGACCAAGAAGTTAAGTAACTGGCTCAGGTTCACAGCCCTAGGACTCAAACTGAGGCATGCAGCCTCCAAAGCTCACTCCCCCTCTGCTGAACTGTGGTAACAGTACCCTCCTCAGTGGGTGTTTGTGAAGATAAAATGACATCATGCACGCAAAGCTCTTAAAACAGAGCCTGAACCATAGGAAGTGCCCAACAAATATTAGTCATTATTATTATTGTTATTATGCACTCAGTCATTCAAAAGATATTTATGGAGTGTGCACTCTGTGTCAGGCTCTGCTCTAAGAGCTGGGCATACGTCTGTGAACAAGACAAAGATTTCTGCCCTCATGGGGCTTCATCATTGCTGTCATCACTGCCATCACGATCATCATCACCATCACACCAGTATCACCACCATGATCATCTTCATCGCCATCATCATCTCCATCATCGCCATCATCATCTCCATCATCGCCATCATCATCACCATCACCACCCTTATCACCACCATGATCATCTTCATCACCATCATATCAACAGCACCATGATCATCTTCATCACCATGACCATCCTTACGATCACCATCATCATCACCATCATGACCATCACCACCATGATCTTCTTCACCATCATCTGCATTATCATCACCATCATGATCACTATCACCATCATCTTCATCACCATCATCACCATCATGATCACCACCATGATCAGCTTCCTCACCATCATCTCCATTACCATCACCATCAGGATCATCATCACTGTGATCTTTATCACCATCATCACCATCATCATCATCCTCACCATCATCATCTTCACCATCATAATCACCATCACCATCATGCTTATCACCATTATCACCATCTTCCTCACCATCATCCTCATCACCTTGCACTGTTCCTGTGGGATTCACAAATAGATCAATCTTGTGATTCCATCTCTCCAGGGTTCCCCTAGTCCCCCAGAAACGTCATTCACATCTTGTTTTTAATTAGATACTTTGGTTTTCCTTTTCTGTTGGGAGTGTCTTAAGCCCCTCAAAACCCAGATAGGGTCACACGTCTCCCCTCAGAGGCCTCTCTTCCTCCTCTGGGGTGGTGGTGGTTGTTGCAGCTGTGCTTGGGGGCCAGACCACCTCTGCCAGTCTCTTCACAACCTCACCCAGCTGCCCCAGACCCCGGGCAGCCTCCAAGAGCTGGTTCAGCCCCAGTCCCAGGGCCTGGCGCTCCTGCTGGTCCTGCTCCAGGGCCTGGGTCAGCCTCTGCAGCTGGCCACTCACGTCCCTCACAGCAGCCACTAGCTCTACTAGGGCAGGCGGCTCACAAGCCATGACCCTTACAGGTGGCACTGGGGCCACACATGGGCCAAGGGGGCCTGGGCTCTGACTAGGGGTTGGCCTGAGGGTGACGGGGTCAGAAGGAGGTTGATCCAAGGGGTGGGCCACGGGGGACAGGGGGAGGTCAGGGGTCATAGTGGGGTCTGAGGCTGAGTGTGGGGTCTGGCTAGGTGGAGGGGTTAGTTTGGGGCTCTGGCTTCTGGGTGATTTGAAGTCCTCAGTGGATGGTGTATCCATGCCTGGAGCTGGAGAGGACCTGAAGAGGCTGGACTCTGAGGCTGGAGAGGACTCTAGGTTCAACATCTGGGATGTGGAGGGGTGAGGGGCCCCCATGGAGGTCAACTGGGGGTGCAGGCTGGGTACTGTTGGTGCTGGAGTAGGAAAGGGAAGTTCTGTTCCCAAGGAAGTTAGAAGGGACTTGGTAGTGATCATAGGGGTTGAGGTGAGGTCAGGAGCCATGGTGGGCTGAGTAGTGATGGTGGAGTGAGGGGTCATGGCAGGGTAAGGGGTTGTGATGGGGTGAGGGGTTGTGGTGGGTTGAGCAGTGGTCGTGCGCTGAGAGGTCATGGTGGAGTAAGGGGTTGTGGCTGGGTGAGGGGTCGTGGTGGGGTGAGAGGTCATGGTGGAGTGAGGGGTCGTGGGAGAGTAAGGGGTTGTGATAGGGTGAGGGGTGGTGATAGGGTGAGGGGTGGTGGTGGGGTGAGGGGTGGTGGTGGGGGGAGGGGTCGTGGTGGGGAGAGGGATCGTGGTGGGGGGAGGGGTCGTGGGGGGGTGAGGGGTTGAGGTAGAATAAGGAGTGGTTGTGGGCTGAGGAGAGGTGGTGGGGTGAAGGGTTGTGGTGGAATAAGGGGTCGTGATGGGGTGAGAAGTCGTAGTGGGGTAAGAGATTATGGTGGAGTGAGGGGTTGTGGTGGGGGGAAGGGTGGTAGTAGAGTGAGAGATCGTGGTGGGGTGAGAGGTCACGGTGGAGTGAGGGGTCGTGGTGGAGTGAGAAGTCACAGTGGAGTGAGGGGTCGTGGTGGGGTGAGAGGTCATGGTGGAGTGAGGGGTCATGGTGGCGTGAAGGGTGGTAGTGGGGTGAGGACTTGTGGAGGCGTCTGGGGATCTGGAATGTTCTGGGACCGTGATGGGGTATGGAGTTGTGTCCCAGCCTGGGGTTGTGTCAGATTCTGGGGTCAGCTCTGAGGTAGGGGAAAGGTGAGTCACCACTGCTGGTGCAGAGGGATCAGAGGTCAGTTCTTTAGGCAAGGTGGGTGGTGTGGTGGCTGAGAGCTCAGGGGTCAGTGATGGAACCACGGTGGCCTCAGGGGCAGACAAAGTAAGGCCAGAGGTTGTCCGGGTGAGGTCAGAGTTCATCCAGGAGGCCGGGTCTGGGCTGGGTGGCAAAGTGTCAGGAGGGTGAGAGGTCACCTCCGGCGTTAACGCTGTGTCGGGGATGAGCAGTGGCGCCGAGTCGGAGGTCTGCGGCGGGCCCGGAGTCCCCGGCAGGGCGCGGGGAGCGGGGGAAGCGGCGGGGGCCGCTGTCCTGGGCGCCGTGGGCCGCAGCAGCCGGCGCTGGGGCCACAGCTTCCTCGCGGAACCTGGTGGAGGAAAGAGGGGCGGCGGCGGTCAGCTTGCCCCGCCCACCCCGCGGCCCGCCCCGCCCCCAGGGATGGGCTGACCAATGAGAAGGCGCAGAGCCTCGTGACGTCATGGTCGCCGGCAGACTTCACCCAGCCCTAGTGGAACCACCTCCCCGCCTCCTCCGATGTCTCCAGGCGCCACCTGGCGTCCTCCGCCGCGGGGGGATGCGAGGATGAGTGAACCCGGGAGAAGCGGGGATGTGGAGGGGTACCGGGGATGCGGGAGGGGGCCGAAACGTGGGGGCATGCAGGATGGTGGGGGCGGGGGAGGGTTTAGAGGGTGTGGAAGCGTCCGAGAGGATGCGGGTATGCGCGGAGGGGGATGTGCGCGCGCGGGGAGACGCAGGGATGAGGTGGGGTACCGGGGATGCGGGAGGGGGCGGATGGAGAGGGATGGGGGCGGATGCCGGAAGGTGCAGAAGCTGAGGGGGATGCAATAGGATGCGGAAGTGTGCGGGGTAGAGGGGAAGAGGGGGCGTGCTGGCGACTGCTGGAGGAAGCCCGGGCGCAGCGTGAGGATGCGGGAGGGTTCAGAAGAGGTATCTCTGTAATCTAGATAAATATTCTTATGCCATATTTTTAAACAATCAAAATTAATGCAAGATCCAAGATGAACAAAAAGTCAACATTTTAACCCAAAGTAGGATGGGGCAGAGCAAGAATTAGGGTGAGTCCAGAGAGGTGGGTCAGATCCTGCTTTTAGTTTAAATTTTGATATTTAGTTCATCGTGGATTTTTTTTGCATTACTTTTGATTTTCAGACGATTGCATTAAGATTTATCTACTTGATTACTGAGTGTTTTGGCGCTCCCTGAACTTTCGCGCCTGCATAGAGTGAGATGCCTCACCCTCTTGCTGGCTGTGCTTCCAGGTAAATGCGAATTTTAACCCCTTTTTATAAATGAGGGAAATCAGGCCAAGAGGGTAACTTGCCTGAGGTCACACAGACACAGTTCACACGTTGCGGGGCCAAGATTTGAACCCAAGTCCTTTGCATCCAGAGTCTAGGCCATTAAGTATCACTTTCTCAGTGATGGAAATGTTCTGGGCTGTCTAGCATGGTAGCCACTGGTCACATGTGGCTACTAAGCACTTGAAGTGTGGCTAGTTCAACTAAGGAACTGAATGTTTCCTTTTTAAAATTTTTGATTCATTTAAATTGAAATAGCCACCTGTGTTGGCAGCTACCATTTTGAATGGCACAGCTCTAGAGAATTCCACTTGTTCCTGGAGGGTCTTTGAGGCACATCCTGAAGAGCAGTTAAGTAAAGGGCTCCAGGCTGCCTGGCTTTAAATGCCAGCTCTGTCGCTTCCTAGCTGGGTGACCGTGGGCAAGCTACTTAGCTGCTTTGAATCTCAGTTTTTTTCCCCATCTACAAAGCATGGATGAACCACGACCTCCCTTGTGGAGTCGTCGTGAGGACTGGGGAGATCTTGTGTGTGCAGAGCACTTAGCACAATGCCTAGCATGTAATAAGCACTCTCATGGTTATTAATATTGTCATAATTGTTAACATCTGCCTCAATTTCTCTCATCTGTGAAATGGGCATAATTATAGCCCCTACATCAAAGAGCTCATGTAGAGTAATACATATAAAGTGCTTAGAATAGTGCCTGACACAGTATATTACTTGGAAAAGGTTAACTCTTTTTAGTTATTATTTCAAGAATCTCAGCTTAGTTAGCTATTGTAGGGGCTCAGATACCTACAGTGGTATTGATTTTTAACTTTTCAGATCCAAGGTTCAGAGAGCTAAGCTAATCATATTCCTCTGTAGGTTGTCATCAACAGTTCCTGCAATGTCTCCTCTTGTTTTATTTTAATTTTTCTCCTCTTTATCCCCAATCTGAATCCCCCTCATCCTCTCCCACAGGTATCACCACTAATGTATTTGACTTATGTCTTTAAGTATATGTGTGCCCTCAGACAATGTAGAATGCATATATGTGTATATGTTAGTATATAAGTGTATGTGTATTTTTGTCTTTGTGCTTTTAATTTTTGCAAATAACATTCTACTGGAAATCTCATTCTGTTTTTGATTTTTTCCCTCAACGTTATGTTGTTAATACCTATCCATGTTGCTGTGTAAACAGCTAGTCATTGCTTTAGCTACTGGAGAAAATTCCATCATGTGCACCCACTGCATTTCTCTTATTTGTTACCCTACTGTAGGACACTTAACTTGCCTCCAACTCCCTGATATTACAAGGTTCCAAAGAACATCCTCATATATGTTCCTTTATAAGCCTGTGCAAGGATTTCTCTGGAATATAGATCTAGGAGCAGGATGGTTGGGTCATAATTTATAATCATATTTAACTGCACTAAATACTGCTAGATTGTTTTTATCAAATTGCTATATCCAGTGGGGATGCCTATCGCCCCACATCCTCACCCACATTTGGTATTAGGTACCTTTCAAAATTTTTTTCATGCTTGTCATTGCTTTAACTTGAATTTTCTGATTCCTTATGAGTGTGAGCATTTCTTGTTGGCCATTTGGGCTTCCCCTTCTGTGAATCACCTGTTCATAACTTTTACCCATTCTCTTATAGGGTCTCCTGTTATTTTTGTATTGATTTGTCACAGTGACTTGCATGGTATAGGTTAGGGTTTCTCAACCTGGGCACTGTTGACATTTGGGGCTGGATGATTCTTTGTTGTGGGGGAGATATCCTGTCACACTATAGGATGTGTAACAACATCCCTGGCCTCTACCCATTAGGTGCCAGTAGACTCCCTGCTCCCAATCCTGACAATCCAAAACATCTTCAGATATTGCCAGTAGCCCCCAGTTGATGACCACTGGTGAAGATAATAACCCCTTGTTTTAGGATATATTTCTGTTGGGTCTTTCTAGGGTGAAAGTTGGGTCACCACTGGGAAATTTGGAGTCCATCTCTCTACCCACCACACAAACATCTTAGTCCCCTCATCCCAGCCAGGTGCCTCACCTGTGTCCCCACGGAGCCTTGGAGCTGGAGAGGGATGGCCTGGGCTCCTGGTGGTGCCAGTGGTGAGAGTGGGTCCAGGTGTGCCTGCAGTGGGGGTCTCCCTGGCCAGGGCCCCTCCTGAAAGCATGTCCCACGTCCGGGAAGGCTCACGATCATCCTTGTCACCTTGAGAGATACGGGAAGAACCGAGTCTCACTTCCCGTTGAATCTGACCCTCTGCTCCCACTGGGCCCCAGCTCGGGCCTTATCCTGTCACAGCTGGAGCATCACCCCATCTCCTCCCCGACCTCGCAGCTGCCTTGCCGATACAGTTGGGATGTTCTCAGCCACCAATACCAGAAACTAGGACTACACTAACTTATAAAATAAGGACGGTTATTATTTCAATTTCCTGAGGTCCCTGCCCCTGCTCATCCTTTATTTTTCCCCGGAAAAAAAAAAACCTATAATATCTTTATTACCGAACTACCTGGAACATTTCTATACTATTATTTTTCCTATGTTTTTTGACTGAATACACTTGGATAATCTCTACATGACAACAATTTTATATAACATATAAATTTATAATATACAATATGTATATATCACTTTATCTAAGGAGAAGAGAAAGACAAAGTCTTCAAGCTTGGTTGATCAAAAAACTTATTTTAACAATAGCTTTGTTGAGATATAATTCACATACCTTAAATTCACCTACTTAAAGCGTACAGTTCAGTGGTTGTTAGTCTAGTCACAAGGTTGTGAGACCCTCACCACAATCAAAGTTGAGAAGGTTTTCATCACTGCAACAAGAAAGCCTGTACCCATTACCCTGTCATTCTTACTCACCGGAATCGTCTCCCCAACTTCCTCTGTGACTGTGTCCCCCACGCTGACCCTAGAGGCCTCTTTCTTACACAGAGACCTGCCCCTGCCCGTGCCTGCCCTCCACCTCTCCACGGGTCCCCACTGCCTGCAGCACAAAGTCCACGTCCCTCATCTTCCATCATAACCTGCCCCTGCCCGCCTCTCCAGCCCCACCTGACCACGTCTGCTTCCACATAACCCGCTGCTCCCGTCGGACCCCTCACCTTGAGGCGTTCCCATCCAGCCCCTGCACACCTTGGAGCCTTTGCCCATGCTGTTACCCCCGCTGGGAATTCCCTGCCCTTCCATTTGCCATGCACGTGAGCCCGCTAAGACATTTCCCCACTCCGCACACAAAACTAGGCAGAAGGACGGTGTCCCAGCCACCAGGCATGTTTGACACGGTCACTTTGAGCTCTGTAGCTAGCCGTCCCAACTGCAGAAATTCCTTGCCCCGTCACCTGCTAACATATTACCTGCTAAGTGAACAAGGCTCAGTTTTCGCCCTGACGCCTGGCACTGCGGACACCCCGGTGGGCGCCTTCATATACTAACCGTTCTTAATTTAATACCTTTCCCATGCCTGTTAAATCCCTTAACAGGATAACTATGAAATCTCACCCAATGGCCATATTCTTTAGGAATTTAAAAACCATTAGCAGCACTATTAATTAAAAAATAAAAAAAGGAAAAAAGCCTAGAGGAAAAAGCCCATTAGCGGTGAATCACTCAAGATTTCTTTCCCAGACGCCGGGTTTTAGGAGGACTCCGTCAAGAACCCAAATCGAAGCTGTCTTCCTGTTAAGATGCCAGCCCACCGACTGCGGGCACACTCCTGGGGTCTGTGTGTGCTCCAGATGGGCTCTGGGATATGGCCACATGCTCGTGGTCCAGTGGTGTGGGATCGATTCGATTTTTGCACTAAAATATACATTTTTTAAAAAGAGAAGCAGCAGCGCAGAGTTACAGCCCCTGTGAGGTCCAATCACATCCCTTCTCTTCGTCAGCGGGAGCGGCTGCCTGAAATTCAGCTTATCATTCCCAAGCGTGTTTCACACCTTAACTACACAGTAGGTAGGGCTCCCTGGCGCCATGCTGTATCCCCACGCGTGGCTCGCTACACCTAGTTTAAGACCGTGTGCGTGGACGTATACACCACATACATCCTTTCACAGCGTGCTCTTTGGCTGTCCCTTCCTAGCTGGGTGAGCAAGTCACGTTTAACTTCCCCATGACTCAGTTTCCTCACCTGTAAAATGGGTATCATGATGGCATCTACTCTATGGGGTCGCAGGGCCTGGCACATGATAAGCTACTCTTTGAATTAAAGACATACAACTCTAGTTCCTTCTTTTTGACCTCCGTATAATATTCTACCATTGGAATATACAACCGTTCATTTATCTATGCCCCTGTTGACAGGTGGTTAGCCTGTTGCCAATGTTTTGCTGTACAAATACGGCAGTAGTGAATTCCTTGTACCTGTGTCCTCAGGCTCCTGAGCAAGAATCACTCAACACCTAACGCGTGGAACTGCTGTGTGGAAGGCAGCCGCATCTCCCTAGATGTTGTCAAGCTGCCCTCCTAAGTGGGTGCAGAGTCTCACGCCCACGTTTATCCTTGGTGCTGTCAGGCAGTTTAATTTGTGGCATTCTCTTGGGGAGACAGTGGGTGGAGAAGCTGCACTTGCACTACAGAGGAATAAACTGAAGCCCAGAGAGGGCAAGGAGCTTTCCCAAGATCACACAGCTAAGGGGCAGCATTAGGCTTCAGACCCAGGCAGGTCTACCTGGTTCTAAATGGGTCCAGATCTCCCGAATCCGACCCCACTCCTTCCCTGGTGGGCCTTTAGGATTTGATTCAAAGGCCATTCCCATCTCCCCCTCAATGAGGTCATGCCCTGCTCTCTGCCTCCTGGGTTTTTCAGAGCTAACTCTGTCATATGCTCCTTCCCAGTCTCCGTGGCAGGAGTGGTTAAAAGTGTGAATCCTGGGCCGGCCCCGTGGCTTAGCGGTTAAGTGCACGCACTCCGCTGCTGGCAGCCTGGGTTCGGATCCCGGGCGCGCACGGACGCACCACTTCTCCAGCCATGCTGAGGCCGCGTCCCACATACAGCAACTAGAAGGATGTGAAACTATGATGTACAACTATCTACTGGGGCTTTGGGGGAAAATAAATAAATAAAATCATTGAAAAAAAAAAAAAGTGTGAATCCTGGAGTCTGAATCCAAGCTCTGCCCTTTGCCATCCTGACCTCTCTGTGCCTCGATTTCCTTATCTGTAAGATGGGGGTAAGGAGAGAGCTCATCTCATGAGATTCCGTGGGGAGAAGTGAGTTAAACCCTGCGACGCACTCAGACGGCGCCTGGCACACGGAGAGTCTTCAATGAATAGTAGCGATTATCATTGTCATTATTGTCATCCAACCTCTCGATTTAATTTTCCCTTTAATCTTGGATCCCCTCCCCCCCGCGTGACCTCATGCAGCCATCACAGACAGCGATATCCCAGCTCCATGAGTCATCCGCCTTCCCCGCGGGGGCAGGAACTCCATTAGACACGGCTATCTCTCTGCACAGCCTCAGCCATTCCCACAGCTTCCGATTCCACCCCGTCCATTTATAGCTCAGCCCGGGAGCCCCTTGGAGCTCCAGGATCGAATAGCTAATGTCTGCGCCTGGGTGTGTCAAACGCGGCACCAACGGAGCTGTTACTATTTCCCCTCTGAATCCTGTGCGCCCCCCCCCCGCAGTGTTCCCCGATCCAGTAAAAGGCAGGTCCCCATCCCCTACCTCCCTCTCCTCACCCCTCATCCAACCCATCCCTCGACCCCATCAGCTCAACCCCCAGAATATAGGTTGAAGACATCTACTTCTCTCAGTCTACACTGCCACCCTGGTGGAGGCCACTGTCACCTCTCCATGCACCTCCAGGTCTCCCTGCCTGCACTCTTGCTCCTATATTTGTACCCCATGCAACAGCCTGATGGACTGCTTTGAAAATGCACACGTAGGGGCCATCCCAGTGGCATAGTGGTTAAGTGCGCGTGCTCCACTGCGGCGGCCCGGGGTTTGGATCCCAGGCGCGCACCGACGCACCGCCTGTCAGGCCATGCTGTAGTGGTGTCCCATATAAAGTGGAGGAAGAAGGGCATAGATGTTAGCCAAGGGCCAGTAAAAAAAAAAAAAAAAAGATGAGCATTGGTGACAGATGTTAGCTCAGGGCTGATCTTCCTCACACACACACAAAAAATGCACATGTGAGCATGTCCTCCCTTGCTTAAAATGCTCCACCCAGAGCCTCTCACTGCATGTAGAATAAAACTCAAACTCTGGCTTCACCTCCCAGGACTCTCCCCTGCCTGGCTCACTCCACTGCAGCCCCACGGGTATCCCTGCCATTCTCCCAATGTCCCACCACAGGGCCTTTGCACGTGCTGCTGACCCTCTGCCTGGACTGCTCCTTTAGCTCCCTCCAGGCTCCCCATCACAGCAGACATCTTTACAACAGACCACAGATCTCAGCCCCTGCCACCATTCCCATCAACCACTCCACTTCAGCCCCACTCACCTCGCTGCTGTTTCTTGAACCAGCTAAGCACATTCCCATTTCAGGGCCTTTCCATAGGCTGTTCCCTCTGTATGGAACACTCTCCAACCAGACATTTGCATGGCTTTCTCCCTCTCTCCTCCTTGGGGTCATCACTTAAATGGCACTTTCTTAGGAAGGTGTCTCTTGACCATCCTGTTTTAAATTGCAACTCTCAGTCTCCTTTTCCCCCTCCCTTGCTCTGCTCATCACCGCTATGCTCCTGGGGGTTAGTACTCATGCCTGCCACACAGCAGGCATTTGACAAACAAATTAATGTCTGTGACTCCAAATTCTATCATCTGGGCAACCTCAAATGTTGCTTCAATGAACTGGAAAGTGAAAATGCAGACTTCAAAAGCCTCCAGCTTCATCTCCTTTACTCTCTCTCTAGACTTACTCTGGCCTCTCATTCATTCATTCATTCATCCAACAAATGTGTAAAAAGTCTCTACTGAGCCTCAACAACACAGATCCTGTGGTAGACAGAATAATGCTACCCCAATGATGTCCATGCCCTAAACCCCAGAACCTGTAAATATGCTGCCTTATGTGGCAAAAGGGATTTTGCAGATGTGATTAAGCGTCCAGACTTTGAGGTGAAGCGATTATCCTGTATTAATCCAAGTGGGCCCAATCTAATCACACAAATCCTTAAAATTAGAGAACTTTTCCCAGCTGTAGTGACAGAGAAAGATGTGAAGACAGAAGAAAGGTCAGAGAGACGCAATGTTGCTGGCTTTGAAGATGGAGGAAGGGGCCATGAGCCAAGGAATGTGGGAGCCTCTAGGAGCTGGAAAAGGTAGGGGAACGGATTTTCCCCGAAAGCCTCCAGAAGGAACACAGCCCTGCAGACACCTTGATTTTAGCCCAGCGAGACCCCTGTCAGACTTCTGACCTACAGAACTGCAAAATAGTAAGTCTGTGTTGTTTAAGCCACTACTCACATGGCGATGTGTTACGGCAGCAATAGAGACTGATATAGCTAAACAAATGATAGAGCTAAAAGGCTAGCGGAGATGACAATGCCCTAGACTGGCAATGCAATTTTCTCAACTCCACCTCCGCTCCTGTGAGAATCCCCTTCCTCCTGTTGTCTGCTGGTGAAATAATACCGTCTCCTCTGTGAGTTTTTTCCTGATTGCTCTACTAGAAATAATCACTCCCTCCCTGGGATTCTGCAGCTGTTGTTCATTTACGGTAAATAACTCTAACAACCAATGTTTTGCGGTTTTAAACAATTTCACACATGTTTTCCTCAGTGGATTGGGACCTGAGGTCACCCAGCTAGTTCTAATCCCGGTGGAGCCACGACTGGAACCCAGCGAACTCGACGCCAGAACACACACTTGTAATTACTTCAGTAATTCAATCATCTTTCCCAATCCACTGAGCAAAACTGAGCTAAAGCTGAACTTCTCTGAGCCTCATTCTTCCCCCACCTGAAGCAAGGGCGTAACGATAGGACCCATGTCACCCAGTTGTTGGAATCCTGCGTGCCTAGCAGAGAGTGAGCTCACCTTGACTCATTCCGGGAACCCTGGAGCTCTGTTTTTTCCAGAGGAAGAAACTGAGGCTCAAAGAGGTGGAGTCATTTTTTCAAGGTCACCTAGCTAGTGAGGATAGGAAGTCACGTCTGTCATTCTCCCACTCCCCTCCCCGCCCCACCCCCGCCCGTCCTCCCAGTCCTCCCGTTATTGAGGTTGTATATGTGACTGTCCCGAGATTTCCCTCGCTCGGTTTGTAGCTGTGCGCTTATCTGTGCTCCTGTACTGCCTTGTCCCCTCACCAGGAAGGGACTCCCCGAGAGCGGGGCCCGGCTGCCCTCAGAGCTGCCCGTGCCCAGCATCTGACGGTCTCCGCCACGAGGGGGCGCTACGGGATAGGGAGGCAGCGCCGGGTTGCGAGAACAAAGGCTCTGGAATGCTGGCTACACTGCACCGAGCAGCATCACCTCTGCAAACTGGGTCGGATGAGCCCTAACTCACAGTTTGGGTCCCCCACCCCAGCCAAAATCGCGGCGCCTCCAGGGCCTCTCCCCACCCTCCCGTTCCCACGGCGGGAGTGCAAGCCCCGGGACAGGAAGCCGTGCGCGCTTCTCCCGGCTTTCATTGCTACGGGCGTGGGCCAGCCGGCCAATCAGGAGGCGCAGCGCGCTGTGACGTCACAAAGCGCGAGGCCGATTGACGCCTGCCCCTCCCGCCCCTCCATCCTCCACCCCGCCCCCTCCCCCGAGGCCGCGGAGTGCGCATGCGTGCTGAGCCTGAGCGCGCAAAAAAGGCGGGAAAGGGCGCGAGGGGCGGGCTGGTGCTGAGGGGGCACGGAGGGGGCGCGCCTCTCTGGAGGGGATGGGCACAGGGGCATGGGGTGACAGCACACCCCGGACATGCGGGGGGTAGAGGGAAACACGGAGACTGGAGGGAGAGGGCCGGGAGAGGCACAGCGGGTGCGACAGGCGGAGAGGGAGCAGAACTGGCGACGCCTGCGGGAGGGAGCGGGTGGGACGTGAGAGGAAGGGCCGGGGCCACCCTGCGAGACGGGGGCGGGGAAGGAGGGCGCGAGGGGGCCGGGAGAGCGCAGGGCGGGCTGGGGGCTCCGAGAAGGGCAGTGGCAGAGAGAAGGGGAGAGGGAGAGCGGCTGTGAGGGTGGCGTGGGGAGGAGAGAAGGGAGACGAGGAGTGAAGGAAACAGGAGGGGGCAGAGACAGGCCACGATGACAGACAGCGACCGTGGGAGAGCCGGCTCCAGGGGGAGAGGAAAACGAGAAGGACGGAGAGAAAGGCTGACCGTGCATCTACGGAGTGCCAGGGGTGGGGAGGGCGAGACAGCAACAGTGAGAGGAAAAAGAAAAAGACACTCAGAGGGGAAAGAGAGAGAGTGACCATGAAACGTCAACATGGAGTGAGGAATAGAGACCAGGAGGGTGGGCAAAGGGCAGTGACGGAGAGAAAGAGTGAGCCACGGCGTGAGGAAGAGGGCAGAGGAGGACGGAGAGACGTGAGCCTCGGTGCAGGAGGGGACGGGATGACACACAAACACACACACAGATAGACACACACACAGAGACACACAGACGCGCACACAGACACACATAGACTGACTCATAGATACACACAAAGAGGCACAGACACACACACACAGACACATAGACAGACACAGAGACACACACAGACTCATAGACACACACAGAGACAGACACACACATAGACACACACAGATACAGAGACATACACACACAGAGACACAAACACAGACACACACATAGACAGACTCATAGATACACCCAAAGACACACATAGACAGAGACACAGACACACACATAGACACACAGACACAGAGACACACACACAGACATAGACACACACATAGACACACACAGACTCATAGATACACACAGAGACAGACACACACATAGACACATACAGAGACACACACACTCAGACACACACAGAGACACAAACACAGACACACA